CAGCTTCCTAAGAAGCTGGGACTACAGGACCTACCACCATGCCTGGCTAGTTTTTTATTTTTTCGCTGTGTTAGCCAGGTCTTGATCTCCTGACCTCATGATCTGCCCACCTCAGCCTCCCCAAGTGCTAGGACTACCCGCATAATCCACCATGCCTGGCTAGAATGCTTTTTAAAACGCCTATTTCCAGGCTTCACCTGGATTCTGTTATACCAGAATTGGCCACAGGGCCCAGGAACCCGAAGCTTGCTCTCTCCCCAGTTTTGAGACTATCTCTCTGCCACCCAGGTTGGAGTGCACTGGCATGATTGCGTGTCACTGCAACCTCTGTCTCCCGGGTTCAAGTGATACTCATGCCTCAGCCTCCCAAGTAGCTGGGATTACAGGTGTGTGTTACTATACCCAACTATTTTTTTTTGTTTTTGTTTTTAGTAGAGATGGGGTTTCACCAGGTTGGCCAGGCTCGTCTTAAACTCCTGACCTCAGGTGATCCATCTGCCTTGGCCCCCCAAAATGTGGGGATTACAGGCATGAGCCACCAGGCCTGGCCGAAATTCTTGCCTTTGGAACACAGCATCCACGTTTTCATTTTGCACCTGGGCCTCCAGATTTTTGGTTGATTCCATTTTGGCAATGAAGAATAAAGCCACAGATAAGGAATAAAACTACATTCTTGGGTGTCTGCAAAAGACCTGTCACTCCAATAGAACCCGAAAGCAGCCGATACCTTCTCAGTACTGCTGACGAGGATTTCCCATGGACCAGTCCTGGCCAGTGAGGGGACGGAGAAGTGCTGGGTGCTGGTGAGGGCGGGCTCCCTGCGTCACGCGGACTCGGGCTGGTACCCAGGGAACATCTGGAGACTTCCGTGGTTGTCACAACTGGGGCAGGGAAGGCACCTGGCAGGTAAAAGCAAGGACGAAACTGAACACCGTACCACCCCCAGGCGGAGCCCGACGTGGAAGAGGCCTGAGTGAGAAAACCCACAGTGGGGATGGTGCGGGGAGCCCGCCCGGCTCCCACGGAAGCACCTGCTGCCTACCAGAGACGACGCTCTGCCGCCACCCAGCGGACATCCGGGAAACAGCGGCACAGGGAGCCCCCGGGATTCTCTGACCCTGGAATTCCTTTCCCAGGACACCGACAGCAGGTGCACCGGCTGTTCCACGCGGCTTCAAGCATTAGAGCTCGTGCGGCTCCACACACAACCCAGCTACAGAGCGTCGTGGGCGGGTGGAGGTGAATTCTTGACCGTGTGACTCGCGGGTGAGGAAAGGGTCCTTCCTCATGGAGAGGTTGACAAGAGCCCAGATCAGCAGGGAGGCAGCGCCCCCGCCCGTCCTGCTCACGGTGGGATGTGCCAGGCTGTGTGGGGCCTGAGACTCCCGGAGGCTGCCCTCCAGGACCAGGTCCCCTGTCATCCTGGGGGCTCTTCCTTCCCTGCTGTACAAATGTTATTTTAAAAGAAAAAAAATGATAAGACTGGGCGTAGTGGTGCACGCCTGTAATCCCACCACTTTGGGAGGCCGAGGCAGAGGTGGGCAGATCACCTGAGGACAGGAGTTTGAGACCAGCCTGGCCAACATGGTGAAACCCTGTCTCTACTGAAAGTACAAAAATTAACTGGGTGTGGTGGCATGCACCTTTAATTCCAGCTGCTTGGGAGACTGAGGCAGGATCATCTCTTGAACCCAGGAGGTGGAGGTTGCAGTGAGCTGAGATCGCACCATTGCACTCCAGCTTGAGTGACAAGAGCAAAACTGTCTCAAAAAAGAAAAGCAGCTCCCAGGCAGGTGGCCTGAATCTGCAGCTTCCTAAGCACTTTGCCAGGATCAGTCTTCCGGCCGCCCATCCCGCACACAGCAAAGCCTGCTGCATGAGAGTGAGACGGGAGGCCCGGTTTCTCCCTCCTCCCGGACCACCTGGGTGACTCCCTCTACCCGAGGAGATGGCCAAGAGGCCCAAGAGGAACCTGGCCTCAGAGCTTCGAGAATAGAGATCACACCTTGATTTCTACCCAACTCCTTCTTTTCATAAACCACAAAACTAAAGGATGAAGTAATGATGAGTCTGTAGAAACCCCGTGTGCTGGGCACTGCCCTCAGGCTGATGGAGCAAGACAAAGGTGTCTGTTCTCCCAAAATGTATTACCTTCTAATAGAGGACAAACATCTGAACCACAGGTGTTCTGACAGCTAAAATGGCATGTTAGCAAGAGCCTACAACTGTTCTGTGTTTTGTTTTTTTTTTTTTTTTTTGAGACGGAGTTTCGCTCTTGTTACCCAGGCTGGAGTGCAATGGCGCGATCTCGGCTCACCGCAACCTCCGCCTCCTGGGTTCAGGCAATTCTCCTGCCTCAGCCTCCCGAGTAGCTGGGATTACAGGCACGCGCCACCGTGCCCAGCTAATTTTTGTATTTTTAGTAGAGACGAGGTTTCACCATGTTGACCAGGATGGTCTCGATCTCTTGACCTCGTGATCCACCCGCCTCGGCCTCCCAAAGTGCTGGGATGACAGGCGTGAGCCACCGCGGCCGGCATCTATTTTTAGTTATCCACAAGGTGATAGACCTTCGACGAGACTAACATAGTAATGCCTTGTTAACACAAGTACTAATGGCGGTTTCCTTGCCCTGTCTCTATTTTAGGTGGGCATGTGTCCCACGTGGGAGCAAAGGTGTTCTGAAGACGGATACTCTGATTCAGAAGGGCTAACTCCCCTCTCACTCCACCCCCTCACCTCCTACACACATCACCCTGGTCCAATGTCCAAGCGTTTTATAAACAAACACTCCCAGAACACACACGTGTTTAAAAAGTATTCCTGCAAAGACCCCCCAGATTGAAGATAACGCTGATACTATGCGTACAGATGAACCACAGAGCTGATGTCTCTCCTATACCTGACAGGCTTTGCCAGCTCCACTGCAGCGGGAGCAGAAACGGGGGCAGTCCAGTCCCTGTCTAACGTGTGCGGACAAGGAATGAGGCTAAAACACTTCCCGGTTTAAAGGGGTGGCTGGAGCGACGGATTCACACACAGCACAGCGAATGGCTCGTGCAAGGTGGCCGTGTGGTACAGGCAACATTTCAGGGTTCAGTTAGAATAAACCCTAGAAATGGATTTCCTGGGTCTGAATGGCAGCTCTGTTACTTACTGGCTGTGCTTTTTTTTTTTTTGAGGTGGAGTCTCGCTGTGTCACCCAGGATAGAGTGCAGTGGTGCGATCTCAGCTCACAACCTCCGCTCCCGGGGTTCAAGCAATTCTCCTGCCTCAGCCTCCCCCAAGTAGCTGGGATTATAGCCGTGTACCACTGCGCCAGGCTAATTCTCTATTTAGTAGAGACAGGGTTTCACCATGTTGGCCAGGCTGGTTTTGAACTTCTGACCTCAGGTGATCTGCCTGCCTCAGCCTCCCAAAGTGCTGGGATTACAGGTGTGAGCCACCGTGCCCAGCCTGGCTGTGTGTTATTTTCTGCACCTCAGTGTCCTCATCTGTAAGATGGAAGCATAAACTATACTTACCTCTCGGGTGCTGTGAAGAGCAAATAATTCCTAGTGTTTAGGGCAGAGCATGGTACACGGTAATCGCTGTGTTCGGTGTGATTCGTCATCAACATGTAGAGAAAAATACTAGAAATCATCAAAAGTACATTTTGGAAAGCATGCAGCCCTAAGAAAGGATGAGTTCATGTCCTTTGCAGGGACATGGATGAAGCTGGAAACCATCCTCAGCAAACTCACACAAGAACAGAAAACCAAACAGCCCACGTTCTTACTCACACGTGGGTGAACAATGAGAACGTACACACGAACACAGGGAGGGGGGCATCACACACTGGGGCCCCTTGGGGGGTGGGGTGGGGCTAGGGGAGAGATAGCAGGTGGCGGGGGGATTGGGGAGGGACAGCATTGAAAGAAAAACCTAATGTGGATGACGGGGGATGGATGCGGCAAACCACCCTGGCATATGTTTACCTATGTTAACGATCCTGCACGGTCTGCACATGTGCCCCAGAACTTAAAGTATAATAATTTAAAAAAAATTCAAAAGGATATAAGAGTTTTCCACTCTCCTAGGAATAGACTGCTGGTTCTATAGCCATGGTAACAAGGAGCTACCCAGACAGGTTTAAATCCAGTCAACTCAGCTCAGTGAGCAGTGAACTGCTTTTGCAAACCAACCCACGGCTGTCCTTGGCATCTGAAATTCAGCCAGTCAGGAAGGGGTGCACTCTTCCCTTCCTGTGCCAATCAGCCTCACCGGAGTAGCCACAGGCCAGCTCACACGGTCAAGATTCAGTCTCATTCTGTACCTCCCCAAATTCCTAACAAAGATCAGAAGCTGCGGTGGCTCCGGCCAGTTGTCCTGGCGCTTGAGGAAGCGAGGCCATGAGTTCAAGGCCAACCTGAGCAACATTACAAGCTCTCATTGATTAACAACAAAAAAGTAGGCCAGGCGCGGTGGCTCATGCCTGTAATCCCAGCACTTTGGGAGGCTGAGGCGGGTGGATCACGAGGTCAAGAGATCGAGACCATCCTGGTCAACATGGTGAAACCCCATCTCTACTGAAAATAGAAAAATTAGCTGGGCATGGTGGTGCGTGCCTGTAATCCCAGCTACTCGGGAGGCTGAGGCAGGAGAATTGCCTGAACCCAGGAGGCGGAGGCTGCGGTGAGCCGAGATCGCGCCATTGCACTCCAGCCTGGGTAACAAGAGTGAAACTCCGTCTCCAAAAAAAAAAAAAAAAAAAAGATTAGAAGTCTGCTCTACTCGGAGACTGCGGCAGACCAGTGTTTTATTCACTAAGCAATGCGTTCGGCTCTATGTTTATGGGCCTGATATGGAGTGACAGCCACACCACCCTTTGGTATTCAGGTATGTGTTTTCACACCAGTACTTGTGGTATCCAAATTCAGAGGCTGCTTTTGAATATCTGGGTTCTCCCAACCTTTCTGCTCTTAAACCGTATCCCCAACGAGCTAAGAAAACCACTGGACACCTTTTCCAAATGCTCTGTGTTTATTTCATTCCCTCTGTGCGCTCTGAGGTAGGACAGACGTTTCGCAGATACCGAGGCCCTAGGATTTGAAGGTCACCAGCCTTCAAATCCAGTAACCAAGGTATACCGAACAGAGAAGAATCACTAGCACCGAAGGCTTTGTGAGAATCAGAAATCATCATCTGTGAAAAGGAACTCCCAGGCATGACTTGCTCCGACACAACAGCTTCTCAAGTTCCTCCATCGGATGTGTGAGTGGGGCGCGTTTCTGTATCTTCAGTTTTTCCACCAGTACCGGTCATCGTCATCAAAAGAATACCAACTACCGTCAATCACCATCCGGGGCTTGAGCAGTTGCACTTCCTCCAGCAGCTTCCTGATTTGCACAGGGTACTGCCATTTCCACAGCCTAGGGAGGCAGAGAGGGAACTCATTCCTGAGACATTCCTTCAAACTCTTCTCCCTTCCTCAACATTCCTGGAAGCCTCAAGGATCTCAAACTTTTCCTTGTGCCCTTAAGGAAGTGTCATGAATGTGTCCCCTAAGAGTTAAAGAAACCAATGACTAACAGGCATTCTTGAGTTTTCAGGATAGCAGAAGAGAGACGCCATGCTGAAACAGACGCCCCGCTCTACTTACGAGTTGAAAAAAACTGGCTGAAACTGGTTAGAAGCAGTATGGCAGATCGGATTTGCACAGAATGAGCTCGCCGATGTCATAGCCCGAATTTCCACCATGTTTCATACTAACTCTCCCTAAAGTGACACAGGCGACCCATGAGGTAGCATGAGCAGGTAATTATGAATGTCCAGGGACTTTCCAGACCTCCTCTTTTCTTTCAATCACCTCCTAATCTCAGAATCTACTCCCTGAACCTCTTAAGATAAAAACACTACCTTGAAGCAGGCATGGGGAGACAGATTTGAGTTTGAATCATGTCTCCTTGTGAGTTGACCTGTAACGTAAAATCTTTTTTCCCCCCAATGTCACAGTATTGGCTTCTAACACATCAGGCACTGACCCTCTTTTGCTTTGTAACTATAGCATGTTCTCTATAGAATAAAAATATTCCTCTGCATGTAAGGAAACTTGGACATGGCAGAGACTATGCTTAGCATTTTTTTTGAAGTCTCATGAGCTCTGATACGCTGAGCTTTTAAAGCCATCTGCTCCTGACAATGGTCCTAAGAGTCTTAAGAGGCAGGTATGATCCTTCAGTCCGTCTATGAATTCCCTCCTCAGTCTAGGTGTCAGGTCCTGCTATAGGGTTTGAGGAGGTACAGTAAGTTCTCCCTTCATGTCATTGATTGGAAATAACTACACCAAGTTCATGAAGAACATCATTTCCTTTGGAGTCATTGTTTTAACAATGAGAAAACACAGGTTTCATTACATGTCATTTTGCTTAAAGTCACTGTTTCTAAGAACCTATCAATGACATTGAGTGAAGACTTCCCACATAGGGATGAACAAGGCAAAGTTCCCACCCTCACCAAGCTTAAAGTCTACTACAGGAGAAACAAACGTATTCACATAGGTACATAGCACCATCCCCATTTCACAGATGGTGAAATACCCCCATAAAAGGTCAGTTAGTAAATCCAGTTCTGACTTCTATCATACTTCAACTACTAAGTCCCATAGTCACCACCAATCTTGTCAGCAGCTCTGCTGCCTCCTAAGTCAAGGATACACACACATTCTTTCAACAACACTCTACATTTTCAGCTCATTTTGTCACTGTAACAGTTCTGACCACACCCAGACCCCCACATTCACTGAGCCTTGTTTCCCAATCCATCTTCCCCTTCCTGTCTTCACTTTCTTCCTGTGATCCCAGGGTCCACCACAGCCACTCTTGCCTCCTTCCTGGTTATACCCTCCTGCCAGAACTTGAAATCTGTATAAACTCAACTGCCATCAGCTGGACCATACTGGACAAAATAGTTACTCAATTGAGAAATTTTCTATTCATATAAATATACTGCAACCAGGTCAGACGTGGTAGCTCACGCCTGTTATCACAGCACTTTGGGAGGCTGAGACGAGTGGATCACATGAGGTCAGGAGTTTGAGACCAGACTGGCCAACATGGTGAAACCTTGTCTCTACTAAAAATACAAAAATTAGCCAGGCATGGTGGTGTGCACCTATAATCCCAGCTACTTGGGAGGCCAAGGCAGGAGAATCACTTTAACCCGGGAGGTGGAGATTGTGGTGAGCCAAGATTGTACCACTGCACTCCAGCCTGGGTGACTGAGTGAGACTCAGTCTCAGAAAAATAAACCAAGGAACCACAACCAAACTCAAATGGGTCGTCAGTGCTGCCAGCTGTACATTTCTCTGGTGAAGGTTTTACTCCCTTTGAGTACAACTGTGTCCCTTCCTGCTCAACGATCTCTCTGAACTCCGATTTGTCTATGAAGTCGATGAGTATGAGGTCCTAAATGACAAATGTTTTGGTTTGAGACAGAGCGTCACTCTGTTGCCCAGGCTGGAGTGCAGTGGTGCAATCTCAGCTCACTGCAAGCTCTGCCTCCCAGGTTCAAGCAATTCTCCTGCCTCAGCCTCCCGACTAGCTGGAACTATAGGCACCTGCCACCACGCCCAGCTAATTTTTGTATTTTTAGTAGAGACTGGGTTTCACCATGTTGGTCAGGCTGGTCTTGAACTCCTGACCTCAGGATCTGCCAGCCTAGGCCTCCCTAAGTGATGTGATTATAAGCCTGAGCTACCACACCTGGCAACAAATGCTTATCCTACCATCAAACACCTAAGGCATCTCAAACGGTCACTTTCTCGTGAAGGAAACTCCTCGTCTTAAGGGACAGTCCTGAACAACTTCTGTGAACTCCATCAGCTCAGCTCTCCAGACTGGTACAAGGACTGAATAATAGAGTTGAAATGTTGGGAGCTGTTTAACAAACGTTGTGCTGGGTGTATTGTTCAGTGGTGTTAAGTGCATTTACACGGCTACAACCATCTGTCTCCAGAACTCTTCATCAGGCAGAACTAAAACTCCACACCTATTCCAGAACTCGCCAACCCCTCACCCCAATCCTTCGAAAGTCACCACTCTGTCTCTGTGAACTTCACTATTCCTACATTATTTGTCTTTTTAGCACTGGCTTATTCCACTTAGCATGCCAAGGTTCCGTCATGTAGCAGGTGTCAATTTTTTTTTTCTTTTTTTTTTTTGAGACGGAGTTTCGCTCTTGTTACCCAGGCTGGAGTGCAATGGCGCGACCTCGGCTCACCGCAACCTCCGCCTCCTGGGTTCAGGCAATTCTCCTGCCTCAGCCTCCTGAGTAGCTGGGATTACAGGCACGCGCCACCATGCCCAGCTAATTTTTTGTATTTTTAGTAGAGACGGGGTTTCACCGTTGTTGACCAGGATGGTCTCGATCTCTTGACCTCGTGATCCACCCGCCTCGGCCTCCCAAAGTGCTGGGATTACAGGCTTGAGCCGCCCCGCCCAGCCCAGAATTTTCTTTTTAAGGCTGAATTCCATCGCATTGTACATGCCACATTCTGTTTATCCTTTCATCCACAAACGCCTGGAGTACCTCTTGGCTACTATTATGAATTATGCTGCTAGGAACATGAGTGTGAGATCTGAGATCTTGCTTTTGATTCTTGTGGGAATATTATACTCAGAAGTGACACTGCTGGATCATAGAGCAATTCCAGTTTTCTCAGCATAAACACTAATAATGCTCTCTCTGCACCCTTTCCAACCCACCCAGCAGTAAGCTCCATGGTATCAGGCACCTGGTCTCTATCTCCCACATCCCTGTGTCTCTGGCACCCAGCACAATACCCACAACATAGTGGGCACTCACCAATGGAGTAAAAATATGGCTGCCAAGCCATGACCTCCACGTTTCCCATAACCTACTTCTCCACCAGCTACGAAGCCTGGAACAGAAGCAGGTCTGTAGCTCAGAAGACAATCGCCAGGGACTTACCCAATGATTCGTAGATTAGACGTGGGACACGCGAAGGCTGAACACAGCTTCCTCATTCCTGCAGGACTGAAGTTATTCTGTGCCAGGTTTAGGCCGGCCAGGTGCCGGTTGCAGGAAAGGGCCAAGGACAGTTCCTCACAGCAACCAGAAGTCAATCCACATGATTTCAACCTGCAGCGTCGCCCAGAACACCCGGAAAATAACCCCAAAGATCAATGACGGCTCCTTCACTCAACCCCTGTGAATTTCACCTTGACACTTTCACTTGAGACAGAGTCTCGCTGTGTCACCCAGGCTGGAGTCTGACAGCGCAATCTCATCTCACGGTAACCTCCACCTTCCGGGTTCAAGCGATTCTCCTGCCTCAGCCTCCTGAGTAGCTGGGACTACAGGCACCTGCCATCACATGCCCAGCTAATTTTTCTATTTTTAGTAGAGATGGGGTTTCAACATGTTGGCCAGGATGGTCTCGAACTCCAGATCTCAAGTGATCTGCCCGCCTCGGCCTCCCAAAGTGCAGGGATGACAGGCCTGAGCCACCGTGCCCGGCCTCAGCACTCCCCTTTCTATGGCTGAACCACAGTCCCTCACGTGGGAACGCCGCCTTTACAAGCCCCCGGGAGATCCTGATGCTCACGTGAGTTCCGAGGGCCACTCGGGTCATCCATCCCTTGGTTCCTCCTCCTCTTTGTCTCTAGACCATTCACACAACACAAACGTCTTCCCGCTTCCGTACTCCCGCCACTTAGCGCCAGGACTAGACACAGGGGTCGCTCAATGGGCAGCTGAGGGTTTTCCACCCCCAGACCTTGCTCCCAAGCGTCTCATGCACCCTGTGACTTTCCGTGGCTGGCTTCTTTCACTCAGCGGGATGTTTTCATGGCTCACCCACATTGTGGCAGCTGTCAGCGCTGTACGAGCAATTTTTTTTTGAGATGGAGTTTCGCTCTTGTTGCCCAGGCTGGAGTGCAATGGCGCGATCTCAGCTCACTGCAACCTCTGCCTGGGTTCAAGTGATTCTCCTGCCTCAGCCTCCCAAGTAGCTGGGATTACAGGCACGCACCACCACGCCTGGCTAATTTTTGTATTTTTAGTAGAGACGGGGTTTCACCATGTTGACCAGGATGGTCTCGATCTCTTGACCTCGTGATCCACCCGCCTCGGCCTCCCAAAGTGCTGGGATTACAGGCTTGAGCCACCGCGCCCGGCCTTTTTTGTTTTTGTTTTTTTGAGACAGAGTGTCACTCTGTTACTCAGGCTGGAGTGCAGTGGTACAATCTTGGCTCACAGCAACCTCCACCTCCCGGGTTCAAGTGATTCTCCTGCCTCAGCCTCCAGAGTAGCTGAGGTTACAGGCAGCCACTCACACTGCGGGAGCCCAGCTGTAACTTATACCCAGAGCTGTGGTGCTACAAGGACTGCCATCCACCCACATCCTCATTCAGACAACCTCGCACTGGGGTACCCCACCTCCTCCCAGCCTGGCCCTCAGAGACACCCCAGGAAGTTACCCCAGTCTCCTTAGAACACATTTCCTTTGCTTCAGCCCCTCACACAGCGCAGTGACCCCGACGTCACCCACGGCATTGTCCGAGAGATCCAGGCTCCTCAGGTATCTGCTCCTCGCCATCACGTAGGACAGACTCTCACAGCACTCAGCAGTGAGACGGCAGCTGACCAGCCTGCAGAGGTGGGAGACAGAGTGAGATGGCTTCTCTCGGGGACAGTGGGGGACAGACAGAGCGAGTCAGCATCTCTCGGGGACCGTACACAGTGGGAGACAGAGCGAGTCAGCGTCTCTCGGGGACCATGGACAGTGGGAGACAGAGCGAGTCAGCGTCTCTCGGGGACCATGCACAGTGGGAGACAGAGCAGGTCAGCGTCTCTCGGGGACAGTGGGAGACAGAGCGGGTCAGCGTCTCGGGGACAGTGGGAGACAGAGCAGGTCAGCGTCTCTCGGGGACAGTGGGAGACAGAGCGAGTCAGCGTCTCTCGCGGACAGTGGGAGACAGTGAGTCAGCGTGTCTCGGGGACAGTGGGAGACAGTGAGTCAGCGTCTCTCGGGGACAGTGGGAGACAGAGCGAGTCAGCATCTCAGGGACACTGGGAGGCAGAGCGAGTCAGCATCTCAGGGACACTGGGAGGCAGAGCGAGTCAGCGTCTCTCGGGGACCGTGGACAGTGGGAGACAGAGCGAGTCAGCATCTCTCAGGGACAGTGGGAGACAGAGCGAGTCAGCGTCTCTAGGGGACCATGGACAGGAGGAGACAGAGTGAGTCAGCGTCTCTCGGGTACCATGGACAGTGGGAGACAGTGAGTCAGCATCTCTTGGGGACAGTGGGAGACAGAGCGAGTCAGCGTCTCTCAGGGACCATGGACAGTGGGAGATTGTTCAGCAGCACTGACCGAGGAATCTTTATTGCTTCCTGACGGGGGACTTTTCTGTCCGTTCCTGTCAAGGGCTTAGACTGTGTGGTATCTCCTGGCTCAAGAGAGCCGTGACAGAGGGCAGGGAAAGTGCCAGCTGTGATTGAAGGTACCTTTATTTTTTTGAGACAGTGTCTGGCTCTGTCACCCAGGCTGGAGTGCAGTGATGCGATCTCAGCTCACCACAACCTCCACCTCCCGGGTTCCAGCATTTCTCCTGCCTCAGCCTCCCGAGTAGCTGAGACTACAGGTGTCTGCCACCACACCCAGCTAATTTTGTATTTTCAGTAGAGACAGGGTTTCTCCACGTTGCTCAAGCTGGTCTCAAACTCCTGACCTCAGGTGATCTGCCTATCTCTGCCTCCCAAAGTGCTGTGATTACAGGAGTGAGCCACCACACCCGGTGGATCCTGGGTTCAAGCGATTCTTCTGCCTCAGCATCCTGAGTAGCTGGGATTACAGGTACCTGCCACCACACCTGGCTGTATCTTTAAAAGAAATGAGCACAGCTTCCCACTTGGAGATGAGGTGAAGATTCTCCATGGGGGAGAAGGAGAGAAACGCAGGAAGGAGTACAAGGGGGAAAGCCTCTGACAAAGCCCAGAGAGGGACAGAGAAGGGGATGGAAGTCACTGAAACGCTGATAGATCTGCGATCCAGAAGGGAAGTATTGTGCTTTTATTCCTAGAAAAAATGGGGAAGATGGGGCGGGCGGCCCCCAAAACAACAGCTGGTTTATCGCAAGGGAAATGACTGAAACGGCCTCCAAGTCTCCTGTCTTCAGCCTGGGAGTCTAAGGGCAGAGGATGAGACTACCAGGGCTGGGAGAGTCCATGCCCTGGAGCCATCCGGTCAAGAATCAAGAGGCATGCAGGCCAGTCGCGGTGGCTCAGGCCTGTAATCCCAGCCCAGCACTCCGGGAGGCCAAGGCAGGTGGATCACCTCAGATCAGGAGTTTGAGACCAGCCTGACCAACATGGGGAAACCCTGTCTCTACTAAAACGGAAAATATTAGTCTGGCGTGGTGGTGTGTGCCTGTAATTCCACCTACTCAGAAGGCTGAGGCAGGAGAAGGCAGGAGATTGACCCCGGGAGGTGGAGGTTGCAGTGAGCGGAGATTGCACCATTGGACTCCAGCCTGGACAAGAGCAACAATCTCTGTTTCAAAAAACAAAACAAAAAAAACAACCAGGACAAACTTTGTCTCTAATTGGCTAAGATTCTACACCATGCAGAAGTAGGGCTTCAAACGATAATTAAAACAAATAGAGGAATACTGGGGGGCACTTGGAATACTGGGGGGCATTCGGAATTAATGCCGGGGGGCACTCGGAATTAATCTGGGGGGGCACTCGGAATTCATACGGGGGGGCACTCGGAATTCATACGGGGGGGCACTCGGAATATGGGGGGCCCTCGGAATTAATACCGGGGGGGCACTCGGAATTAATCCGGGGGGGGTACTTGGAATACGGGGGGCCCTCGAAATTAATACGGGGGGCCCTCGGAATTAATACAGGGGGCACTCAGATGTTTGTGAACCGAATCCATGCCCAAGTCCTTTTATTTTTGGGAAGGGAGAGATCTCAAAATAATATCCTACTTGCCCATTAATTCTACCTTTGTAATTCATGAGCAAATGCTACCAAGTACACGAAGGTTTACGATGGAATCATTTATGCTCAGGAGGAAAACACTTATATCTAGTGTCCAGGTTTAGAACACTTAAAGTTAGGATACGCCATTCAATGGAATACCGCACCATGTGCTTCACTTATAATAACTGAGGTGTCCTCGAAGACAGAATGTGAGACCAACGCCAGAGTTTTGGTGTCTTGGGAGTTCTAGTTCTCCGCTGGATATGATGGGGGGTGGTGAGGCGACATGACAGTAGATACACAAAACATGTAGTGCTCCTCTGCCACGCGGTAAGAATGCATTAAGTGCGGCCAGGCGCGGTGGCTCAAGCCTGTAATCCCAGCACTTTGGGAGGCTGAGGCGGGTGGATCATGAGGTCAGGAGATCGAGACCATCCTGGTCAACATGGTGAAACCCCGTCTCTACTAAAAATACAAAAAATTAGCTGGGCGTGGTGGCGCGTGCCTGTAATCCCAGCTACTCGGGAGGCTGAGGCAGGAGAATTGCCTGAACCCAGGAGGCGGAGGTTGCGGTGAGCCGAGATCGCGCCATTGCACTCCAGCCTGGGTAACAAGAGCGAAACTCCGTCAAAAAAAAAAAAAAAAAAAAAAAAAGAATGCATTAAGTGCTTGGCCAGGCACGGTGGCTCACACCTGTAAGCCCAGCACTCTGAGAGGACAAAGCAAGTGCATCATGTGAGGTCGGGAGTTCAAGACCAGCCTGGCCAACACGGTGAAACCCCATCTCTACTAAAAACTCAAAAAATTACCTGAGCGTGGTGATGCATGCCTATAATCCCAGCTACTCAGGAGGCTGAGGCAGGAAAATCCCTTGAACCTGGGAGGCGGCGGTTGCAGTGAGCCGAGATCATGCCACTGCACTCCAGCCTGGGTGACAGAGCAACACTCCAGAAAACAATGCATTAAGTTGTATTAAGTACTGACTTACTACGATCCTTTCTTTGTAAAACATCAAATGCATGTTTGCATCTAGGACAAAAGAAACGCAGAAGACATCAAAACAACTAGGATGGCGGCAGGGTTGTGAGGCTGAAGATTAGAATATCTCAGCAGAAATCACTTTCTCTACTGTGTTTAATGATAGGCTATTCCTCATCTCAACCAAGGGTGAAGAAATTTGAGCCCCCGAGAGAATGAGATTAAGAGACAAGAACTCTCCCTTCTCTACAGACAGGAAAACAGCTGAAGATGAGCTCAGGACAAGATGCCCTCCTCTGAGGAATGGACAGAGGTTAGAGTTCAAGGCTGACTCAGAACTCACAGTTCCTCCCATGAGGCTCATGGGCCCTTCCCACACTCACCGTGGTGGCAACACCTCGGCTTACCTAGGAACACCTTTGGAGAGATCAGTGTTGGTTCACCCTGAGAGCAGTTTTTGCATCCAGTCTGCCTGCTCCTCTCTTTTCACCTTTCAGGAACCCCAGACCCCATATGGAACCCCCACGGGAAACTCACTCCAGGTCCTGGAGATGACAAGATGGTTCTCCCATGACCTCACACAGAAGCTTCACACCGCTATCTTCCAAGGGGTTCATGCTGAGGCTCAGGTGCCTCAGCCGTGCATTGCCCAGAAGCGTAAGTGCGAGAAAGCCACAGCCAGCTATGTCCAGGTTGCAGTGATTCAGCCTGTGGGACACACACACAGGGAAGAAGATGGTGACCCTTGTTCCCCAGCATGACCTCAAGTCACCTGCTGCTTTCCTCCCGGCTCCAATCTGCTTCTGTGGAGAAGAGGGTCAAATTTGCATTTTATTTTTTCTATTTTTTTTTTTTTTTGAGAGGGAGTCTTGATCTGTCACCCAGGCTGGAACACAGTGGCAAGCACTTAATGCCTTCTTACCATGTGGCAGTTCACTGCAGCCTCTGACTCCTGGGCATGAGAGATTCTCCTGCCTCAACCTTCTGAGTAGCTGGGATTACAGGCACACACTGCCATGCCTGGCTAATTTTTATATTTTTAGTAGAGACAGGGTTTCATCATGTTGACCAGGCTGGTCTCGAACTCCTGACCTCAGGTGATCTGACCCCGTTGGCCTCCCAAAATGCTGGGATGACAGGTGTGAGCCACTGTGCTCGGCTGCAGGGGGTCACCAGGCTTTCATGAACAGGAGACCGCAGGTCCCCGGCCCTGTGACCGGCAAAAGGCATGGGCTGGGTGTGGTTCAAGGTCCTCTGACTTCTTTAATTTTCCTTCGTACTCAACGTATTAGTTTCCTGTGAGTGCGATAACAAATGGCCACACATTTCGTTGCTTAAAACACACATTCGTTATCTGACAGTTCTGCAGGCCAGAAGTCTAACACAGGCCTCCCGGGGCTAAAGAACCAGCAAGGCTGCTCCTTTCTGGAGACTCCAGGAGGATCCGTGTACTTGCTTTTTCATGTCCGGTGACCTCCATGACTGCACCTCTTCCTTTCTCTGACCTTGCCTTGGAAGGACCCCTGTGATTTTGTTATAGTAGGTAGCTAGTCAGGCATGAGCAGGGCAGGAGAGGGCTCCCCAGCCACAAACCCTCCCCCACACCCACCCACCCCAAAGACAAAGAAACAAGAACATATAAACAAAGCCTCCAAGAAGTCTGAGATTATGTTAAATGCAAACCTAAGAAACTGGTATTCTTGAGAATTCTAAAAGCTTGGAAAACGTATTTGGGTGCAGAATTGAGGAAAACTTCCCTGGCCTTTCTAGAGACCTAGACATTCAAAAACAAGAAGCGCAAAGAACACTTGGGAAATTAGTCACAAAAAGATCTTTACCTAGGCACGACGTCATCAGGTTATCCAAAGTTAAGATGAAGGAGAGAATCTTAAGAGTTGTGAGACAGAAGCACCAGGTAACCTATACAGGAAAACCTACCAGATTAACAACGTGTTTCTCAACAGAAACCCTACAAGCTAGAAGGGATTGGGGCCCTATCTTCAGCCTCCTTGAACAAATCATCATCAGCCAAGAATTTTGTACCCAGCGAAACTAACCATCACATATGAAGGAAAGATACAATCTTTTTCAGACAGACAAATGCTGAGAGAATTTGCCATTACCAAGCCGCCACTAAAAGCAGCTCTAAATCTTGAAAGAAATCCTGGACATACATCAAAACAGAAACTCTTTAAACCATAAGTCACACAGGACCTATAAGACAAAAATACAAGTTAGAAAGCAAAACCAAAACAAAACAAAAATACACAGGCAACAAACAGCATGGTGAAGGCAACGGTACCTCACATTTCAATACTAACATTGAATGTTAATGGCCTGAATGCTCCACTCACAGAATCCAGAATGGATAAGAACTCACCCACCAACCATCTGCTGCCTTCAGGAGACTCACCTAAAACTTAAAGACAGACATAAAGTAAAGGGGTGGAAAAATGCATTTCATGGAAATGGACACCAAAAGTGAGGAGGGGTAGCTATTCTTAGATCTAATAAAACAAACTTTAGAGCAAGAGCCATTAAAAGAGACAAAGAGGGATATTATATCATGGTAAAAGGCCTTGTCCAAAAGGAATTCTATCACAATTCTAAACATATATGTGCCTAACACTGGAAGTCCTAAATTTATAAAACAGTTACTAATAGACCTAAGAAGTGAGAAAGACAAAGGGAGACTTCAAAACTCCAGTAACAGCAGTAGACAGCTCATCAAGTCAGGAAAGGCAACAAAGAAACAAACGAATTTAAACTACACCGTGGAACAAAAGGATTTAACAGATAAATACACAACATTTCATCCAGCAACCGCAGAAAACACATTCTAATCAACAGCACATGGAACTTTCTCTAAGACAGACTGTGCGATAGTGTGTGGGAGGAAAACCCTGCAAGTGCCTGAGGCAAGGGCCTGAAGTCTCAGCCTGTTCCCATATGAGTACTGAACTGGCCGGGCGCGGTGGCTCAAGCCTGTAATCCCAGCACTTTGGGAGGCCGAGGCGGGTGGATCACGAGGTCAAGAGATCGAGACCATCCTGGTCAACATGGTGAAACCCCGTCTCTACTAAAAATACAAAAAATTAGCTAGGCATGGTGGCGTGTGCCTGTAGTCCCAGCTACTCAGGAGGCTGAGGCAGGAGAATTGCCTGAACCCAGGAGGTGGAGGTTGCGGTGAGCCGAGATCGCGCCATTGCACTCCAGCCTCCAGCCTGGGTAACAAGAGCGAAACTCCGTCTCAAAAAAAAAAAAAAAAAAATTAGAAATATAAGCACAGTTATTCCTATATATAATCATGTAGTTATGTATAATCATAAATATCTATATACTCAATATAACCTTTTAATCTTACTAATGATTCTCAGGTCATCAAATGTGGAACTGAAGTGTCATTGGGAAGGAGCAGACCCGAAGGCAAAATGCTCTAAGCCCTCTGTCACACCTGCATAAGGGCTGCCGGAGGGTACTCAGCTGTGCAGCAGTGCCAGCACTGGGAAAGTGCCTGCTGTTTAGCCAGCTAGGGAAGGAGACGTTCAAGATGTCCGAGACGTCTCCTTCTTGGGGGAGGCAGGAGAAAACTCCGCTCCTCCACACTCTTGTGGTAAGGCTTGATGGCCGTCAGGGAGGCCTGCAGACATCCTGGGGCTTAATGCTCTCTGCGTGGTGCTGTGCTTCAGTGGTCATGTTCCACGTCTACTTTCACGTTCCACTTCTGCATCCGGTTCCTTTTTCTTAGAGGAATTTAGTAATAGTAACGTAAATCTTAATGTCCTTGATACTTTTGACAAGTATGCAAAAAGTGCTTACACATTTTCTCCTCTCCTCAGCGAGTTGAAAGTCCTGGGCCCCCCGTCTCCAAGACACGTGATTTACTTCACCCTATCACTGATCATCAGTGCCTTGCCCTACCCTGACCCCTGCTGTGTACTCGATAAAAGTGTCCAGGTGCTTGGGCCACGGCCACGCTTTGGCTGGCAGTGGACCCCTGGGCCTAAACTCTGTTTTCTCTTTGCGTTGTGTGTCTTATTTCTACAGTTCACACCTGTAGAGAGGGGCTCACAGGACCTGCAGGGCTGGACCCTACATGATAGGCCATAGAATAAGCTTCAATAAATTTAAGAAAACCGAAATTATATCAAGCACTCTCAGACCACAGCGAAATAAAACTGGAAATCCACTCCAAAAGGAACCTTGAAAACCATGCGAATACATGGACATTGAATAACCTGCTCCTGAGTAAGCATTGGGTCAAAAATGAAACCAAGATGGAAATTAAATTCTTCCAACTGAACAACAAGAATGACACGACCTATCAAAACCTCTGGGATACAGCAAAGGCAGTGATGAAGGGGCAGGTTCCTGGCCCTGAACACCTACATCAAAAAGAGTGGAAGAGCACAAACAGGCACTCTAAGGTCACACCTCAAGGAACTAGAGAAACAACAACAACCAAACCCATCCCAGCAGAAGAAAGAAAATAACCAAGATCAGAGCAGAACCAAATGAAACTGAAACAAACAAAATTACTAAAGATAAATGCAACGAAAAGCTGGTTCTTTGAAAAGAGAAATAGAACTGATAGACCGTTGGCAAGATTAACGAAGAAGAGAAGTGAAAAAACCTAAATAACCTCACGAAGAAACAAACAGGAGACATTACAATGGATACCAGTGAAACACTAAAGATCATTCAAGGCTACTATGAACAACTTTATGCACATAAACTAGAGAAACTAGAAGAGATGGATGAATTCCTGGAAAGATACAACCCTCCTAGTGGAATTAGGTATCCTGAACAGACTAGTAACAAGCAGTAAGACTGAAATGCTAATTTTTTTTTTTTTTTTTTTTTTTTTTTTGAGACGGAGTTTCGCTCTTGTTACCCAGGCTGGAGTGCAATGGTGCGATCTCGGCTCACTGCAACCTCCGCCTCCTGGGTTCAGGCAATTCTCCTGCCTCAGCCTCCTGAGTAGCTGGGATTACAGGCACGCGCCACCATGCCCAGCTAATTTTTTGTATTTTTAGTAGAGACGGGGTTTCACCATGTTGACCAGGATGGTCTCGATCTCTTGACCTCGTGATCCACCCGCCTCGGCCTCCCAAAGTGCTGGGATTACAGGCATGAGCCACCACACCGGACCCTGAAATGGTAATTTAAAAATTACCAACAAAGAGTCTAGGACTAGATGGATTACCAGGAGAACTCTACCATTCATACAAGAATTGGTACCAATCCTTTTGACACTACTACACAAGATAGGTAGGGTTCCTTTTTCCCTAATTCCTTCTATGAAGCCAGTATCACTCTAATATGAAAACCAGGAAAGGATTCAATCAAAAAAGAAAACTACAGACCAATATTGTTAATGAACACAGATGCTAAAGTTCTTAACAAAATACTAGTTAACTGAATCCAACAACAAATCAAAAAGATAAGCCACCATTATCAAGTAGATGTCATACCAGGAATGCAGGGATGGTTTAATATCTGCAAGTCAATGAATGTGATACACCACATAAGTAGAATTAAAAACAAGAAAAAAATGACACGATCATTTCAGTAGAGGCAGAGAAAGCATTTGACAGAATCCAGCATCACTTAATGATTAAAACTCTGAGCAAAGTCAGCATACAAGGGTCATACCTTAATGTAACAAAAGCCATCTATGAGAAACCCACAGCCAAAATAATACTGAATGGGGAAAAGTTAAAAGCATTCCCTCTGAGAACGGGAACAA